CTATTGACTCTTCTGCATAAAAGCCGCAGCTGCTGATAGATTTTCAACTTGTATTGTATTTCAGGTGATTTTGCATAAGCAAAATGTAGAAGCTGAGAGGCACATTTCTGGAAAATAGGGTGGATGCTTCAGCTTCCAAACACTTCAATAACATGAAAGAGCATTCTATATACTTTAGATTCTCTTTTCCTTTTCTTTTTATCCGAGTTTTGCTATTCGTCATGTGAGACTTATCAATGAAATTGTGCTTTGTTCACCATATGTCCGATATGTTTGGAAATGGATTTTTCGGCTTTTTTCGTGTTGAGTGCGCAACTCAACATGACTGTCTCTCCCAATGAATATTAACATATGTTTCAATAACCCTTTGGTTCCTAATCTCAACCAACCATTGTCTTTTGATAAAGCTAGTCTCTTTTAGCTAGAGAGTTTGTCTTTAATAGACTCAAGGTTTCTTTAGGTTATGGCTTAATTAGCTAACTTTGATGTTCGATTACATTGTGATTTTGTTTTCACAACATAGTTTCTGATCATCTGTTTTGTATCCACTCCTAAAAATCAAGCCACGAGATAAAAGACATGTTTGGAAATGCGTAATTTGAGCTGTAGTAACGAAATGGCCACACTGTAGTAACGAAAACGAATATGAAGAAATGGCCACACTGTAGTAATGAAAACGGAATAGAAAGTATATTTTTTTCCTTTAAAGAAAAAGGTTTCGTCCTCGTATTCTTTATTCTTCTCTACTGAACAATTTTGACTGTAGAAAGTAGAAACATGCTATGTGAAAGTGAAACCAACCACCATGGAAACTGAAAATTAGAGTTGACTTATATATAGTGCATTCACGTTTACTTGTAATTGGTGGTCAAGTCTAGTTCTTGGGGACTCCGAGCCTTAGCCTGAAGTCTTCTTCCATAAGAGGAAGGCCTTCGCGGAGCTTCACCTTCGGCTCCCATCCCAAAACTTCTTTGGCCTTTGTGATGTCCGGCTTCCTCTGTCTTGGATCATCCGGTGTGTTTTCAACCATCTTTATCTCTATGCTCGGGTTTATCAGCTGCAACCAAACCAGCATATCATTACCAGAACACACAAGAATCTGAAAGCACATACTCCTATTACTCAGAGAAACCAGACTCTTACCTCTTTCACTGTCTCAGCCAATTCCACCATTGTAAACTCACCTGAGTAACCAAAGATTCAGACACAGAGCATAGTTACAAGAGAATGGTTGGTTTGTGTTTGGTTTGATACTTTGATGGAGATATGTTATAGGGCTTACCTGGGTTACCGATATTGATGGGACCAGTGTCATCTCCTTCCATGAGGCGCATAAGTCCATCGACCATGTCAGATACATAACAGAAACTGCGGGTCTGTGTGCCCGGTTTCTGAACAGTCAAAGCTTCACCTCTACATATTCATGGCACGAACAAGAACAAGAGATGAATAATCAATCAAGTTATAGCACGAAACAGGAAAATTCGTTTGATGGATTGAGAAAAGGGGGCTCACCGGAGTGCTTGAGCAATGAAGTTGCTTACAACACGCCCATCATCAATGTTCATGCGTGGACCATAAGTGTTGAAGATTCTGGCAATGCGGATTTCTACAACGAGCAAACAAACACAAGGTAAGGAATAAAATACAATGTGAGAACTGATGCAATTACAGGAAAAACGTTGGAAGCAAAAGCCTCGGGAAAATAGAACTGACCAATTCCATGCTGCCTGTGGTAGTCAAACATCAAGGTCTCAGCTACACGCTTGCCTTCATCATAACAGCTCCTAACCCCTTTTATAAAAGCAAGCAAGTTATGAGACCCCATGAATTGACACGCATATATAAGATATGTATTAGTGTTTGAGCCTACCAATTGGGTTGACATTGCCCCAATAGCTCTCGGGCTGGGGATGGATGAGAGGATCACCATACACCTCCGAGGTTGAGGTAAGCAAAATCCTGTCCAGAAGAAGAGTTAGTTAGTCACAACGGAGAGAAAAGATCAACTCAGGTAAGGAATAAAGAGGGGATCATTTCACAAACCTTGCACCGACACGCTTGGCAAGACCTAGCATGTTCAGTGTGCCAATCACATTGGTCTTGATTGTCTTCACGGGGTTGTACTTATAGAAGATGGGAGAAGCAGGACATGCAAGATGGTAAATCTGATCAACCTCGATCAAGAGTGGCTCCGTGACATCTGTTGAATCCAAAACAAAATATAAAGAGGACAATGTTTATCTTATTGACATAGGAAAAAAAGGCGGGTATATTCGTTGTTAATAGCAGCAACAAGCCAGAGAGTTTCAAGACCATACCATGACGGATAAGCTCAAATCTCGGATGACCGATCCACTTCTTGAGGTTGTCCTTTGAACCGGTGAAATAGTTATCAGCAACAATCACCTGGGGAAAAAGATATAAAACCATCAGAAACTGATCACCTGACGCATAAACCATTATGTATAGGTTTCAGGCATTTCAATGCGAACCTCATTCTTTTCGTTTTCCATAAGCTTATCAACAAGGTGAGAACCGATGAATCCAGCTCCTCCTGAGATCAAGATCCTCATATTGGACTGTACAAATGAGAAAAGTAATCACTTAGCACATCTTATTTAGAGCCAATAACAAAAAATACAAATTCCTAGGAAGGTGAAATCAAACAATTTTACTACACACACTAGTTCATAGTCAAGAAGATGCGGAACACACAGAACATACAAGATCACAACATATTACAACAACACCAATAGATTACAGTTCGATTCAGCTTAACGAGCTCTCCTACAGGGCACAATGTAGCGATCTAGCAAAGAAATAGGCCGAGACTGCTCACAGGTCAGATCTAAGTAGAATATCTAGTATTCAATCTCAATGGTCAATATGACCAATCAAAAGATCCCTTAAACCTAGAATTCATTTGATTCTATACAATGTCAACGAGATGAAGTACATAAAGACTTCCCAATACAAGATCTCGCAAGAAAGAAATGATCAATACACCAAACTATATAGGATCACAACACCATGATCCGACATAACGACAACCAAAGGATCAGAACACGAGATTCACTCTCCAACCATATAAAGCAACGTACACACACATGATTCGGTGAGGGAAACTTAAAGTGATTTTCTGGGTAACGGCAGATTTCAAAGTGGGGAAAACGTGATTCAACGCATGAATTTAACAGTAGAACGATCACAAATTAATGGGTATCGCTAGAATCGAAATAAAATCTCGAATCAACGAGAAATTTCACCTGACAAAACTTGGAATTGCGGAGAGGTGAAGGTGAAGGTGGAGGCTTTGGGCTGGTCTGTTTATCACTTGTCGCCATTACTGAGATCAAAAACCTGAATTTTGAAGAAAAAAACGCATCAAAAACAGTTAATTTTGGTTTCTTGTTGTTCGATCGATTCGAATCGAGAGAGGGTCGAGAGGAATTACGAGATCGGATTCGAATCGATGAAACAAGGATTGAGAAAACAAATGGTTTTGTGATCTGAAGAGTGGTAAAGGGATCGAATAAGTTTTATATAGTCACAAGTGTCGGAACTTCTTCTTTGCAACTTTTGA